CGCCGCCGCGCCAGGTGGGCGACAGGCGCGAGCGCACCTGGGCAGCGGTCGCGGCCCCCGCCTGGCGCAGGTGACCCGGCTCGCGCGCCGCCCGCCCGCCCTCGCTAACTCCGGGCCCCGCGGCCGGGCGGCCCGGGCGCTGCGCCCCGCGGCTTTTTGTATCCGCTCCCGGGCTCGGGGCGGCCGCGGCGCCGAGCAGCGAGCGAGCGAGCAGGCGCCTCCGCTTACCATTTGCGCACTTTCTCGATAGCCGCCATGACCCTCTTGATATCATCTTTGGCCCGGCTCCTGGTCTCGGCTCGAACCGACCTGCCCGACATGGTTCTGGCGGGGACAGAGAGGCTGGGGAGCGCGCCCGCCGGGTCCTGCTCGCGCTCCGCGGCGGCCACACTCGCGCCCGCCCGCCCGCTCACTCACTCACACACACAGACACTCACACACACACGCACTCACACACGCACTCACACACACACACACACACACACACGCGCACACACACACACACACACACACAAAGCCTGTGCCGCCGCGCGCCCGGGCCCAGTGCGCAAGCGCCGGGCGGCAGCTGCACCGAGCAGGGGGAGCAGCGCCGCCGCGGCCGCCAGTGGTGCGGCCTCCGGGCGCCGCCGCCGCCGAGCAGCGCCCCCGAGCCCCCCGCCCCCGGACGCCTCCCGGACCCCCGCCCGGGCTGGCGGCGAGGGGCGGCCGGCGACCCCCGCTCCGGCTGGTGGAGAGGGCGGCGTGCGGACGTGTGCGCGGACACTTACTCGGAGGCCGCAGGTGCCGCGGGGTCCCCGGGGGCCGGCGGGCTGGCGGGGTGGCCGGCCGCGGAGGGGGAGCATTCCTTGGGAGCCCGGCCGGCCGGCCGCCCCGGCCCCGGGGATGTGGCAGCGGCTGCAATAATGCAAGTTTCCTGTGGGGCTCTTGACTTCTCGGAGTTGAAGGCGGCGATTCGGGACGCGAAGTGCTCCTGGAAAGAGTTGAGACACACGGATCTCTGCTGGCCCTCTGCCCTGCTCAAATGCGCGAGCTAGGACGTCGCCTCCCCCAGGCTTTGTCCTCTTGGAAAACCGGGGTCGTAGGAAAGGTGCCTGGGGTGAGGCAGGCCCCAGGAGACTTTCGACCTTGCTTATTACATAGCTTTCTGCTCTGGAAAAGCTCAGTGATTACCAGTTTCGTAGCAGGGCCACGAGTTGCCTCGTCTTAAATAAGACAAGGGGTCTTCGCTGGGGTTTGCCAAAGGACTACGATTGAACGTCAAGCCACTCCTGATTTAAGTACCAGGCTCCGACCACGTGCTGCTACTGCACTAATGACCCTAGCAGGTACTGAACGGGACTGGTCAGATCTACCAGGAGCACTTTTGAGGTTTGTTTCCTCCCCTTCAGGCCTCAGAACAGAACTGTGGAGGAATCTACGATTATTAGGACAACCCGAGGGCCACATCTTTGTGTGCAGCTGCGTGAAGCTGACTTGACCAGAGCCAAAGCGTGCCCAGAATGACGCTGGGAAAAGTTAGCAAGCAGTGCCAAAGCCCAACATGAGTCATTTCACTGGTGGGGAAACTGAGTCTCAGGCCATACGCTAAATATGACTGCCGCTCATTCTAGTATCAGGCAGTGCCCCCCGAGGTTTTGGGAAATGGAGAAACTACAGGCCTTTTCCTAGGCAGATCCCTTTACCATTCTGAAACGCAAGCTCCTAATGTGAAAAATAAAGATACCTTGGAGAATCGTTCTGAGGATTATATGGGAAAATATATAAGAGCAGGTCATAAAACAGAGATCTTACATGGATGGCCATCTTCACTGTAGCTGGTCAACAGATATGTGCTTCGGGTTACACAGAACTTCTAAAAAATGTATATTTGAATTTAAAATAGGAAGTTACCATGTCAAACATCCAAATATCAACTGATGAATGTATATATCCACACAATGGAATATTATTTAGCCATAAAAAGGGAATGAATACATGCTTAAATGAAGTACTAATACATACTATAACAAGGATGAACCTTACAAACATGCTAAGTGAAGCTGGGCCCACCTGTAGTCCCAGCCACTCCGGAGGCTGAGGTGGGAGGATCACTTGAACCTAGGAGGTGGAGGCTGCAGTGAGCTATGATCATGCCACTGCGCTGCAGCCTGGGTGACAGAGATCCCGTCTCTAGAAAAAAACAACAAAAAACAAACCATGCTAAGTGAGTGAAAGAAGCCAGTCACAAAAGGACAAATATTACATGATTCCACTTACATGAGCTATCTAGACTAGGGAAATCTAGAGACATAGAATGAGAATTAGTGGTTGCCCGGGGCTGGGAGGAGCAGGAGTGACTGCTAATGGGTATGGGGTTTTCTTTTGGAGTAATGAAAAACTCCTGGGATGAGTTAGTGGTGATGGCTACAGAAGGTTGTGAATGTACTTAATGCCACTTAATTGTACACTTTTAAATGGTTACACTGATCAATTTTATGTAAATTTGACCACAATAAAAAGAAATTCAGATATTCAACTTTTCTAGAAAGAGCAGAAGATCTGCAAACTGGGCCCCCAGTGCCACATGGCACCCATCAGCTGGAGCCAAGGAGCCCTGTGCCCTTCAGCCAAAGCTCTCCAGGTCACCAGTGTGCTCACCTGGCCACTTTATACATTTGTGTCACCTGTCTGGCCCCTAAAGTTATTTGTGTTTTTGATCCCTAATAAAACTATAAAGCTTTTCACAAATATTCTTTATAAATCTAGTTTGTCACTTTTAATAGCTTCCTGTCCCCTGCAGATATTTTTCAGCTTCTTTCAACAAAGCACAGTTGTTTTATAGCGGTGTCTGATGATTCTAATATTTGAAATATCTGAGTATCTGTTTCTGCTAGTTCTTGCTCGTGGTGTCCTATTTCCTCGTTATACGTCTGGTTCTCTTTGACCATGCTGGAAATTGTACTTTAAAATTACAGGAATAAGCTTTCCCCTAGAGATGATTTACATTGGCTTCTGCCAGGCTCCTCAGGTCACTGCTAGTCCAGGATGACCTAAATTCAAGTGGTTCCCTGACCACTCAGGTGATGCAAATACAGGCTATGTAACTGTGCAAGACTGGTTCACTTACTGTACTCCGGGAGTACAGTCAGTGTGTGCTGCAGCTGGCTTCCAGGTATTTGCTTCCAGGATGTGTTCAGTGACACGCTGAGAGTGTGAAATCAGCCATGGGGGGAATATTCACACTACGGAAATTAGCAAATGCTGTGTACATCAGGACCCTCCTTCTCCAGCCCTACCCGGGGCTTGTTGTTAAACATTTTCTAGCACACTACTGGTGGACTCTGATGGGGTCCAAAATTTTGTGGGAAAGATCTCTCACTTAGTGTGAGCCCTGGACTTTAATTTCCTGGCCTCTTGCCCCACGAAACCATTCAAGTTCAAATATGCTAGGGTTGGCAAATATCTGCAGGGGAGTAGTGGCTTCCTTGCTGGATTATAGTTCAGCATTTCTTTTCCCTTCAATTTTGGCCTAATTCCTTACTATCTTGTCAGCACATGGTGACCTTTAAGAGGTTTTCAAATACTTTTCCTAGCATTTTTAGTTACTTTCAGCTTGAGAGTTAGTCTGGATAATTGTTTATCTGAAAGTCCAGCTCTCTACAAATGTTAGTTATTATACTAGACTTGTTAAAAAAGGTAAAATAAAAAGTGATCCCAGGGTTACAGACATGAGGTATTTAGTAACGGCTGTGTCAGGTGTCTTAACCTGTCTGTGCCTCATCTGTAAAATGGGGATGAAAATAACACCCACCTCATAGGGTTATTATGAGGACTCAACATAATATCCGTCAAGCACCTAGAACGGTGTCGGCACGTAGTAAGTGCTGGGTACCAGAAAGTAGAGTCATGCACAGAATAAGGACTTCACAGCCAACAACAGACCGTGTATACGATGGTGGTCCCACAAGATCATAATGGAGTTGAAAAATTCCTATCACCTAGTGATGTCATAGCTACAGTAACGTTATAGCGCAGTTACTTTATTTTTTAATAAAGCTAGTGTCGCCTAAGTGTACAGTGTTTATAAAGTCTACAGTAGTGCACAGTAATGTCCTAGGCCTTCACATTCACTTGTCACTCACTGACTCACCCAGAGCAACTTTCAGTTCTGCAAGCTCCATTCATGGTAAGTGCCCTATACCTTTCTTTTTAAAAATCTTTTAGACTATTTTTACTGTACCTTATCTATGTTTAGATACACAAATACTTACCAATATGTTACAGTCGCCAGCAGTATTCAGTACAGTAACATGCTCTGCAGGTTTGTGAGCTAGAGGCAAGAAGCTATCCCATACATCCTAGGTGTGCAGTAGCTACACCATCTAGGTTTGCACAGGTACACACTCTACGGTGTCTGCACATGGACAAAATCGCCTAACGATGCATTTCTCACAATGTATCCCCACCATGAAGGGACACATGACTATATTTTTGTTAAAGGAACTGTAGGGTCACTCACATCATTATTAATAATGGTTAGATATGATTATTACCTCATGACCCAGGCTAGAGACTGAAGTCAAACTACTCCTCTTTCCTGAGTTGCTAAATTCAACTCTTAATCCACTCCTGCTGTTAAGTGTTCCTCGTTCACCACCGTGGGGTGGAGGAGGTTTCCATCTCTGGAACAGAGATGTGTAATTGTGAGGCAAACGCAGGCCCCACTTCATGCGTCTCTGCAGCCTAGCAACCTGCACCAGTGGCAGCGCGTCGGATTCATACACAGAGGTGCTTGGTGTTCAGGAAAGCAGGTCACTAGCCAGGCCCGGCAAAGGGTGAAAACCTTGAGGAGAAAGCTCCAGCCACAGAATGAAACTTAATCCCTTCCTCTGAGACAGGAACAGAAAAGATATGCTGCTGTGTGTGAAACTCACCATCGAGGCTACCTCCCTCCTTTTACAGAAAAGAAAGCTGCGATCCAGTAGTTTCACAGCCAGTTAGCAGAGCTGTGGCCAGAACTCAGCTCTCCTGGTTGTAGAGACTGTGTGTGCACACCACACGCGTCATGATGTCGACAGTTTGAAATCGGCTACGCTGGGAGTATTTATTTACACCATGGAAATAGGCAGGTGCTTCTCCTTCCCCTCCCCCACCCCATGCTGGTTGGTAAACATTTAGCAGACTGCACCTGCGTGAGGTCCCAAATTATTTTGGAGAAGGTCTCCCACCTAATTTGGGCCTTACCATGAGTTTCAGATGGCCTGGGAGGCCTTGAAAAAAATGTGTGTGTTTGCACCAAACATTGCAATCTACCTTTCCGCAGATTTTTTTTCTTGCTTATAATCACAACTATAAAGTGATCACCACATACTAGTAGATCAGCACCTTGCTTATCCATCCATCATCTTGCCTAAAAGTTGGGCCACTTGAAGTCATATAAAAATAGATAGTATGGGCGGCCGAGGCGGGAGGATGGCTTGAGTCCAGGAGTTCAAGGCTGCAGTGAGCTTTGATCACACCACTGCACTCTAGCTTCAGTAATAGAGCGAGACCCTGTCTCTTTAAA